TTTTAAGTGGGAGAACTTGCACAATTGGTGGCTGACTAAATACTTTTTTGCCCCACTAATAGATCATCTTAGCCAGAAACAATGCAACTATAATGACACTTGCGTATCTTCATTACTCTAGGCATTGAAATGAGTGGCATAGAAAATCTAGAGCCTCAAATTAGTGACGTCCTAAAAAAATGTTTGTATTGGATGGTCGTTAAACAGTTCTAGCCAGTATTATGGGAAAGAAGACGGCTGTCTGATCATAAATATAGGTCGGGATCCAAAGCACCTCACAAATAGTACCAGGCACTAGAGATAACTTTGTGCTACATGGCAAAAAAATGTTGGAAGTAAGAAGACTTAGAACGAGATTGCATGATGGAATGGAGCACACCCAAGCTTTTGGTTGTACTTAAAGTAGTTCTTAGTCTTAATGTGCTTGGGCTTGTCAGGAAATATGGTTGAGTCTTTTTAAAAAATAGTATCAGTTTCTCAATTTTTGTTTAATTGAAATTGACACTTGCGCTTTGTTAATGTTGCTATTAAAGCTGTGTGAAGATTGAAGGAAGTTAGAAGATAGAAGCATTTTGACAACATGTTTCTGATTTCCTGTTTTTTTTGGTTTTTTGTATACCGCCTTTAAAATGTAGATTATAATAATACTTTTTCCATGACTTTTGGAAGAGCAACTCCAATAGTTTATGGTGAATGAACTGCTCTATCACAATTCCAACCAGTCTAGTTCTGAATTAGTCACGAGAAAGAGTTGTTAACTGATACAAGAACTCAAATAGGAAGTCTGTGTTGACCTTGGCCTGGTTTCAGTCAGAGAGTAAGCAACAATGTGTGTACTTAAGATTATCTCATTTTGACTGTGCAATAGCTGTTTGACATGACTGACTAATTGTAATCTACTACCTGTAATGACAATGAGGGAATAAAAGAAACAAGTACCATACAAGTTTCTGTTGTTATACAATCTCATTTCAAAGTGGCATTCAACTAGAATATATGGATACATTCAAAACCATAAATCAAAACAAGTCTAGGAGAAGTAAGTGAAATTTTACTGATATAATTTTACATCCACCACTTTCTCTTTCTCTCCTGTTTTGAGTCTGTCATTGAAACATATATAGAAAGTCACATTTAGTAGATGTTGCATTCAGAGCATCTGGCTAATTGTTTATTTCATAAGCAATGATTTAACAAAACAGTACTAACAAGTCAATATTTTATCAGCTTGGCATGCTCAGGGTCACTCGTACCTTTGTCACCTCCTGATTAGATTACTGCAATGCGCTCTACATGGGGCTGCCCTTGAAGACAGTCTGGAAGCTGCAACTGATCCAGAATCCAGCAGCACTTGCAGTTCTGGGTGCCCTGCAATTTGCCAAGTCACACTACTGCTGCATGAGCTGCACTGGCTCCAGTTGCTTTCCAGCTACAATTCAAGGTGCTGGTTATCACCTTTAAAGGCTTACATGGTACAGGGCCAGGTTATTTGCAGGACCTCCTTTCCCCAAGGGCATCTGTCCATCCCTGTAGGTCAGATAGGGTGGGCATGTGCCTATCCTTTTAGCCTTCTGGAAGGCCATGAAGACCTGACTCTTCCCCTAAGTTTTAGGCTAGGATGGGAGTTGAGTCAGGAGACTAATAGTTTGATTGATCTGGTGCCTGGTGGGAAGAGTCCTCCCTGGGCCGATCCAGCAGTCTTTTCAAGGTCCTTTCCCAGTGCCTGAAAACTGTGAGGGTCTGGATGAGGGAGAACAGGCTTCAGCTCAAACTGGCAAGACAGAGTTGCTGGGTTTTAAGGCCCCCAAATTCTGGAGATTTTCCATCTTTATGTATGAGAGTGCACTTCTCCAGTCAGAGTTGGTGCATAATTTGGGGGTCTCCTGGATTCTCTGCTCCTGATCGAAGACCAGGTGGCAACCATGGCCAGAGAGGCTTTGCACAAGTTTGCTTTGTGCACTTAATTGCACCCATTCCTGGACTATGAGGCCTTACTCATGGTGACTCATTCCTTAATCACCTTCTGTTTGGATTAATACCCTCTACATGGGGCTGTCCTTGAAGAGCACTCAGAAGCTGCAGCTGATGCAGAATGCAGCAGCACAGGCAGTTTTTGGCATTTCTCAAGCTGCATTGGCTCCCAGTAGGCTTCAGGGTGCAGCTCAAGCTGCTGGTCATCACCTATAAAGCCCTTCCTGGCACAGGACTAGGCTACTTGCAAGTTCACCTTTCTGCTATTGTTTTTACTTGCACCAGATCTAGTAGAGAGGGCATGCACTGGGTCCCTTCTACTAAACAATGCCATCTTGTTGGACCCCAGAGTCATGCCTTCTCAGTGGCAGCACTTGCCCTGTGGAACAGCATCCCCCCAGAGATTTGGATGGCCCCAACCCTGTTAGCCTTTTGCAAGGCATTGAAGACCTGGCTGTTTCCCCAGGTATTTGAATCAGGTGGGTAGATGAACTCTGTAATTATTGATGGTGAGTGGGATCATTGTTTATCCTTGGGCGTCAGGGTATTATGTGTGGTGGGTTTGTGTGTTTTAATCCTGTAAACTGCCCAGAGTCACTTGTGTGAGATGGGTGGCTATATAAATTATATATTTAAAAAGTTATTTTCTTTTATTCCTGTTTTTATCGGTTGTCGTGTGCCACCTAGGATCGTTAAGTGAGATAGGCAGCTATATAAGTACTTTAAATAAATAAAAAACTGGTTTTATTTGCCCACTCCTGAAAGTAACAGCTGGTATATTCTATTCTTTTTCCAGATATCTCCATTCAAATAATATTGTTATTGTACCTGAAGGTAAGTGTCTAATAGGGTTCAAAACGTTATTCTTAGGTTTTAGTACAAGTTTTAAATAATGAGTTATAACACTTGAAGTGCTCTGTGGATCTGAGATAAATAAAAATGTCTGGATTTTCAGATATATCTAAACTCAATGCACTTGCTTTGCTTATAGTTAGAGTACTGGGAAGGCCAAAATACCATTAAAAACAAGTACTTCTCAATGCATCATTGGTCCACGAATTGCATTCAGCTTCAACTCAACATATGATTTTTAACCTTACTAATCATTTATAAAGCACGTCTCATGTATTTATTTATCCAACAGTCTCATGCCATGCAATTGTCTTTTGTAAACAGAAACCCTAGGAAATAAAATTTTTCCATTCACTTTTAGAGAAGGTAATGTGCCAGTATTATTGAGGGAACATTTTGGCTGAGCTGCAGTAATTTTGATTTTCTAGCATGACTTCCACAGAGTGCAGGACCATTAAGGCAAGCGGATTAAGTAGTAGTCTGTAGAATTATGGCTGGAGAACTCTTATCTTCTGGACATAAACTCACCTTTTTCATGTTATGCTTTCATATACACTAATGTACCAATGAAAATCCAAATGACTATAGTTGGTTATAATTTTTATTTTATTTTACTTGTTTAATCAATTTATGTGATTGTCCAACTTGCAAATGTGATTCTGTGCAGCCAACAACATTTTAAAACTGCACAACCAACAAATAAAAACAAAAACTAAGGACGACAAACAACTTACTATGGCAGTTGAGGACACCAGCAACCAACATACCTGGACACCCCTAACTCCCTGATCCCCACACCTGGGAAAATAGCCAGGTCTTAATGGCTTTCTGAAAGGCCAACAGGGTCACAGCTAACCTAATGTCCTGTGGTATGATATTGCAGAGGGAATATAATTTTGTCCCTTCAAAATTCTTACTATGTACAGTGGTACCTCGGGATACGAACTTAATCCGTTCCGTGACTCTGGTTGCAACTCGAGTTGGTCTCAAGTCAAG